AGTTATCAAAAGTTAACTATCGCTAACGAATATGGTTTATTCAGATGATGATAATTCTATGAACCCAATTCCTTATCTATGCTCGAACCGTTAATATGATATTCAGTTGTTATGGAACCACCTAATTTTTGTTGTGTTATTCATTCTTTCTTGGTATATATTTCCCTCTGTTTTGATTTTGGTTTTATTACTTTTTCAATATGGATAATTTTGGATATGCTGTCAATTCATTTTTAGCCTTTGTAACTTAATGGACTATAAAACACATTATTAGATATAAAATGTATTTTGCTTACATTGTTATTTTAGTAAGTGTCAGAAGAATATTTGAGATCATGTGCTCAAAGAATATCCCTTTATACTGTTTAAGAATGTTGTATTGTTTGAGAATTGTTTAAGAGTGTATCATAAAATAACTTTTTTATAAAGAAGAAAACTGTCATAAAAGAGTTAGCATATGATATCTTAATATTTGCTAGAAAAGGAAGAACAAACAACTTAAAACAAAAACAAAATATTTATTGTAAACAAAAACAAAATTGTAACAAATTATCTGTATAATTAAAAACAGGTTAAAATAGCTAAATAAATTCAGTAATAAGAATTATTTGTGAGAATGTAGCAGATAAGATATAAATTTTTAATCAAAAAAAATTTTTTGTCTAAAAGAATGAAGTGAACGTCACACATGTCTGCTGTTCAGAAAGAATTTCTGAAACCATTATTGGTTAATTAATGATTTATTCCAATAGTTTAAAGTAAATCATTTAATGTATTTACTGCTACATTTGATTAATTTTACTATTAGTAAATCTGAAAAGCTTTTTTGGTTTTATGTATCTTTATAGTATTGCTTATATTCTTGTAAAAATTGAACTATAAATTGCTGCTGCTCTGGGCTCTTGCATAGTATACTATGGTATTCTTCAATTAGTTTCACTGCAACCTCAGAGAAATATCATAACAACTTTTAAATTACTTATCTATCTATAGCAAACCCTTCTGGTAATCTTCAATTTGACACTACTCAGACGGATTTAAATTAAAAAAAAATGTATTTATTCCAAACCGTTTGAAAAACTGAAGTCTCGACAAATGAAGCAATGTTCCACTTATATACATCTCTAATATTTCGAATTTCGAAGCATTTCATTTATTCTTAACTTTTGTCTGTACTTTTTAAGTTTTTAACATGATCACCATCTGAATGTTTAGCGATACTGTTTCATAAAAAAAATGCCATTGTTACAATTTCTGGATTTTATACCACAAATGCTGGCTAAATGTCTTTAATGCCACCTCAGGTATTCTAGTATCTGGCGATTCAATAAGTTCTTTTAAAAATGATAAATCATTACTTGGAGATACAGATGCAAAAGCGCACGTAAACCATGCTTTAATATACACTGTAGGAATAAAAGTACAAATTTCAGAAATTGATTTGATTAACATCATTGTCATTGTTAATTGTTTACGAAATACAAATGTTTTTTATAGCATATAGTCTTGGACATCCATCTAGCGCGATGGAATACACCCAGGTTTTTAAATTTCACTTTACTGCATGGAAATTTACCAATATCTAAACAAGCTCCAAAAGATCTTTGCAGTCTTCGCTTGGTTGTTCAGAATTTTGATTGATGTGTTTAATGTGATTTTGTATTTTGTCTTGACTTGCCAGTCTTTGAAGCCAGTATGTTCTACTGGCCTGTGTCAATTCCTTGTATCCATTTCTCTCCAGTGCTCTCTGAATCTTTTAAACAAAGATACATCAGGTCTTGAATTTGCAGGTGTACATGTAATGCCTGCAAGGTAAGAAAAGTAGTTATTTTCGAGCAACTGTTCAAGTAAAACTGCAGCTCATTTGTTCGATCCTAGATTTGCAGCAGCAGTATCACAGCAAAGAGCTTTGATACAGTCTGAAATACCGCAATCGAACACATAACTTATCGGAGTCTTTTTGATTTTTGTGGAATGCACTCTTTATATGGCAGAACGGCAACATTGAAAAACAAAGGAAATTTCAAGGTTGTGGGTGTACCAACAAAGCTCAACAAAAATAACTAAAAAAAATTAATAGCATCAATCAAACATTGCTTCAGCTTGAGACTGTCCTGTACTATCATCTAATATTGGGATCGCTAATATTAGTCTAAGAGCCAGCGAACTATTTGACTAACCTGTTTTCTCAAAGCTAGAAATTTTTTAAATGATATTTTATTATCGGTACATTAAGAAAATGCCGTTCTGGCAGGCGTCTCGCGATTGCGTCATCATCCCTCGAGTTTTTGAAAATGTAAAAAAAATATTTTTTTAAATTGCTCTCACAAGGCTATAATTTTAATATATCGTATTGCTTATAATTTTAATGAATTGTTTAAGAGCAAAAAAAAATTGACAGCTTATTCGGGCGGTTGTAAGCGTATGCCAGTCGATTGAAGTTGTCATCGGGGTAGTAATTCATAACCAACACCCTTGAGGGTGTTTTTTTTTGACTATTTACAAAGTATGTGTAAACAGCCAGACCATTCAGGCGGTTGCAAGGATTTACCAGTCAAGTACAATAGCCATAAAGCATGATGAAATAATGTGCACAATAGTCTCTAAGAATTCCATTGTTAGAAGGAAAAGTTGAAAAATTATTATGCAAGTTAAACAGAGTTATATGTGAAGTGTTATTTCCTGGTGTTAACATTGTGAGCACTTCAATATTGGCATTACCCCATATTCTTGTTATATATTGTGCGCGTAGAAAATGCTCTTGTAATTCGGACCGACACGGTGGTGAATGTGATGCGTCATGATTTAAATATTTTTTATTAAATGGCTTGTTCACTTTCTTTGGTTTTTAAGTGATAATGATCTTATTATATCTCGTATCATTAACAGTTCTTTAATTTTTCAATAATCGGGAACATTTCACTGCTGCTCCCTGTTATATAAGCACTAAGTTTTTTGAATGCTTCTTGGTATTCTAACTTTTTTTAACAATTGTAAAAGGTCGTTTCTTACCTTTTAGGAAAAATGATAAGTTATAGTCACAACCAGTTAGAGCAGGCGTCGGCAACCTTTTAACTGTGGTGTGCCAAGCCACTGTACCAATATGATTCAGAGTGCCGCCTTAATTCTGAACAAGGACGTAGCGTACATTGGCGGGGCCCCGTATCAAAATTTTTTTGGGGATAAAGTTTCTGCTTCTATGAACAATAATGATCTGAGTGCTGTTTGTGTATCACAGAAGAATTTAACTTCCTGAAAGAAATGTTTAAATTTTTTTGCCAGAAAATGTTTGTTTACAACGATAGACTGAGCCGATTTCTCGAAATTAGGAGAAGAGTGCTAAAATTTTCGCCCTCGTTTCAAAATCAAGAACTGTTCGGATTATATCCCCCGGACCTCTTTTTCTTTTAAAAAATCAAAAAATTTGGAATAAATCTAAATTCTTATTGATTGTGTCGATTATTTACACATATCGGAAAATACAAGCAAAGTTTCCTAAGACTTACAACTAATTAGCTAATTTTGTATCAGTTTTATTTTTGAAAAACTTTTTTCAGCATTTGCGGTTGAAACTGGGTAAATTGTATGCAAAAATTACTTCGGGAAAATTTTAAGCAAAAGTATTGAATTTTGACAGCGATATAATAAATATTGAATTTCATATTTTAGACATATTTTTCGAGTGTTTACAATTGGTTATAAAAATTAACAGAGATGATCTTACTGTATTTAGACGAAAGTTTCATGAAGACAGGTGTTTTTGCTAAATTACTCAAGTTGTAATTATTCGAACATACTAATTGAGTCGAAGTCTCTGAGCTTTGTTTAATTTCAGAAATTAATATGTATATTTAGCATTAGTATATGTTGAGTTTGAAACAAGATAACGGGTTGCTATACTTTGCCTTTTGTTTTTGAAAACAGTCGTTTACGCTCCATTCCTTTGATAATTTTTCGAGACATTTAGCAAACTGCTGAATTAATTTCAATTTTTTAATTTGCACAAAATGACTTAATAAAATGCTAGTTTTCTATTCTATCGCAATCGCAACTCTCTTTATATTTTTACATTTTACACGCTCATGTTTTATTCGAAATTAAATTTAGTTGCAAGGAAGTTTTCATGATTATTTTAACTTTTGTTATTTGTAAAATAAGATAAAAATTCGTAAGATTCTATTAATATTTGGGCAGGTTGGGCCCCCATGGCCCGGAAAAATACACTTTAAAACAATAATTTTACATTTCTCTTAATGAAATTAAATTTCACTGAACAAATTTTTCACGATTAATTCGCTTTTTGTGAAATAATTTATCTTTTAAACATATTTATTAACAAATAACCTACAATTCTAACATAAACTAAACAATTTTAATGTGAACCTTGTCCCTGTACATTTTTGCTTAACAATTCAATATCCGGGGTATAATTTGTTACTTTTAATTTCACACATGATTCTGAATGTTCAATTGTTAAACGACTTCTTTGTGAACTCAAAATATTTTTCATGTGTGAAAAAATTTGTTCACAAAGATGTGGAACCAAAAGCTGAAAGGAGAGCGCATGCAATTTTCTTTAAACAAATAAATCTTTCCGGCAAAGACATCCAACAATTTAATATGACCGTCGATTTTTCTATAGAGTCATCCTTTAGATTTTTTCGTAGTTCTTTAAATTTTGTTTTCCATAATTCTGACGATGTTAGTTCGATAATTTCCATTTCGAAATTATCAACATTCATCCACTAGAAAATTGGACAATCGAACGGTATTGTTGATGAATCTAAATCTGGCTGTATGAGGAAGAAAAATATAGGCACATAAGCTTCAAAGTCTTTGCATCTTTTGCAAAATTCATCTTTAAGTGCTTCAACGCAGGTTTTGAGTTCATTGTTGCTTACGGTCGATTCATTTGCAAGCGCTCTCACATTTGGGAAGTATTTGTAGGTGCTCGTGTTAATATCACGTAAAAATATATTTAATTTTGACGCAAATGCTGTTCAATATTCAAATAATTCGAGCACCGTTTGGCGCTTTCCTTGCAATTTCAAGTTTAGTTCATTTAGATGATTTGTTACATCGGTCAGAAACATTAATTTGCCTAACCATTCTTTATCGTTCAATTCGGGGAAATGTTGTTCCTTTTCGTTAAGAAAAACTTTGATGGGTTCCAGACATGACACAAACTTATTTAAGACATTGCCTCGACTAAGCCAACGAACATGGCTGTATGAGGGAAGATCAACATATTCACTTTCCATTTCTTCTAAAAGAGATTTAAATTGTCTGTGTGTTAGTGAAGAGCGAGACACTATAAAATTAACTATTTTAACAACAGTGTTCATTACAGGAATTAAGCGCTGTGACGAAATTTTGGCAACTAAACTTTCCTGGTGTATTATACAATGGAAGTTCAATATTTTATGTCCAATATGATTTTCAAGAAGTTTGACAAATCCTCTATATTTGCCAATCATTGCAGCTGCGCCGTCAGTAGTTACAGAAAATATTTTTTTGACATTAATGTTCTTGCTGTCAAAATAACTTATGAATGAAGAAAGAATATCCTCCCCCTTAGTTGTCCCAGACAGAGGAATCAAAGTACACAATTCTTCATAAACTTGATCTTTATCACAATACCGTGCAAATACTGCAAGCCGCGCAATATCATTTACGTCGGTACTTTCATCAACAGCAACACTAAATGAAACAGCTTCTTGTAATCCAGCATTCTGTTTTGTTGTTACATTGTCTGCCATTTCAGTTATTCTTCTTTCAATTGTTCGCGCAGAAGCCGGTATTTCTTGAATTCGGGATAATATGGTTTGTTGGTTAGGTAAATCGCTAAACAACTTTTCAGCACTTTTATAAAAATTTCTTTTATATATTCTCCATCTGTAAAGGGTTTGCCTTTGGCAGCTATGCAATGAGCAATTGCGAAGCTGCATTCTGTCGCTTTAGCCTTCGTTCCAGTCATTCCACAAAAAAAGTTATTTGTTTCTTACAACAAGAAACAGCTTTCTTTATAGTTTCACATTTCTCATCGTTGCTATTAAATGTGGACTGATGTTTAGTTTGGAAATGTCTTTGTACACTTGACGTGCGGCATACTACACTTTCGCGGCATATCGCACATACAGCACGATCCTTTTGTTGTATAAATTCATATTCATTCGTCCAACAGTCTTGAAAACCGCGAACATCTAATTTTTGTTTCTTACTCTCCATTTGATTAAATACGAATGAATTATAACAAATATAAAATCAATAAGATACAAGTCTTCACAAAAAAAGTTAGAACGAAAAGTAGCGACCAAACGAAATGCAAGTTTAACTGCGCAAGTTTAAGCCCACCGCACAAGCACACAAGCAAATGGTGCGCAGCACTCACAGTTGATGAACGAGAAAGGGGGGGGCGAGTGATACTCCAACATTCAGCTTCGTGAAGGCCGCTTCGATAACTACTCGGCACTGCACATGTTTCATCCCTTTTACTCCGAATGCGGTCTCAATCAACCTTCGCGCAGATTTTCATGAAATTAGCGAACCACATTATAATCAAACTTTCTCTCTTATTTTCAACATTTTCTCTTATTTAAAAATCACTTCGTCTCGATATATTTGCGATTTTCCTAATTTTTTTGTAGCGTGCCATTCAGAATCCCTTCGCGTGCCAAGCCTGGCACGCGTGCCGTAGGTTTGCCGATGCCTGAGTTAGAGCATGAAATTCTGGTAAACTTAATGCTAAGGATGATCCAAGCTTACTATAAAGCTCGCTTATTGAAATGCATCTTTTTTATTTCCAGCACCGTATTCTATAAAAATATGCATTGTTTCATTACACAAATGGATCATATTTCCAAGCATTATATTTAAAACATCAGTGTCTGTTGATTTAATTAAAATATTTACATAGTCTTTATTGATTTTACAAATATGACAAATAATTTTAGTATCTAATTTAGTAATAATTGAAACAACTGAATTGTTTTCAACTGTATAATTAGGGCAATGGTTATAATATACGTTGATTATTGTATTCCCAAATGAATGGCACCATTTTATCCGTCATCCAATGTCTTATTAAAAATTCTACTAAAGCATTATTTAATTCTACTAAGCGATTATCTAACACTAGCCAGAAATCACCCTCAACTAAAATCATTTTTATTGATACTAATTTCTGAAAAATGACTCGCTTTTTTTTATTTGCAATTTTATTTCGTGCAGGTCTTCCTCTAGCTACTGGACTTGTGCCAAGAGCATATAAATATAATATGAATTAAGTTACAAATTTATTAATAATTTTGTATTATCTTAAATTGAAATGGAGTACTATTCAGTTGACTACATGGAATATTATTGAATTTGGAAATTTATTGATCAATTTATCAACTTTATTTTGATGAATAATGAATATTTTAAGTAAAACATTTCTTCTGCATATAGGACAACATATTTTTGTTGAAATAGTATGTTATTCTTGAAATGAATGATGAAATTTCCAATGAAATAATATAATTATTTTATATAACTGATTTTATAAGAACAGATAAATCTATTTTATACCTATATATTGTAACAGTTTATTATTTAACGAGAAACACAACTATAAAAACTATCAACTTTTATTAAAATATTGTTCGTGGGTTCACAGAAATACGATATAACTAAATTTATACAACAATTATTAAACTAGAAAATGGGCGTTGGATTTTGAATCACTTCTGCTCTGTGAAAGCTGAAATGATTTTGGGCGTCAGGTTGTTAAAGACTCAGTGAAAATTCTTTAACAACAGCTTTATCGGACCGTTGTAACTTCAATATTAGACTGAAGTTCCAATTGTTGGTCAGGGTTGATTCTTCAACCGATGGTTTTCAGAAACAACTAGTTAATATTAACTTCAGTGAGAAAGTACATCAACTATAAAGCTTTTAGCCGCGGGCGAACTAAATACTTTTGACAATATTTCTGATTTTACAAGGCTTTTTATACTATTCCTACTTCTCCTACTCTCGTAGTGCGGTTGATTTCTTAGTGGAAGTCTAGAGGGTGGTGGTTTCGAGTCTACCTTCGTGCCCCTCTGATAGCTCGTTCGCGTCGTTTCGGAGTTCGTCGTCGATTCATCTCGCCAAAATCTTCGGGGGATGAGATGGTCATTGGTCTATGTTCTATGATGAACTCATCTCTCTGAGGTCATCGGTAATTGGTTATGACAAATTTCTCCTCCGATGACGTAGAATGCGTAAATATTATCGTCTTCCTCACACCCTCATTATCGTATTATCTTTTATCTTTCTCTTACTTAGACTGACTCATAGGCTTAAGACATCTTATCTGCTTGTTTACACGGATGATGCAGATTGCATAAGTTTGTTATCCCTTTTTATCTTAAGCTAGGTCGTGAGTCTGAGGTCATAACGGGACTATGTGTATTTGTCGCCGATTACCCCCGGGTCTTCCGTTCTTATCGTACTTATGCTAGAACGTATGCTGCACCAGGTTTCCGCGCGGGTCCTTCGTTCGTCGTTGTATCTTTTCGTTGTAACTTTTTCTTTGGTGACGTCACTGGTATTGTGGTGCGTTGTTAAAAATATTTGCGTATAGCAAGTTTTTTCAAATATATTATGAATGTTTGTTAATATTAATTGCTACATGACTAATAGTTATTCATTAAATATAGAATGTTACAGACTCCCCCTATAGACAGATGTAATGTCTTCATCTCCTAAGAAAGGTGATAATGCAGATACGTGGAATGTGCCTATGATTTCATCCGTGTTATCGGGGCGTCCTACTTCGTAGCTTGTCGGGCCTCTCTGCTGTAGTATGACAGTGCTCTTGCACTGGCTACAGGCCGAGTTCATTGCAAACCTTGTTGCAGGTAATTTCTCGGGTCAGGTGGTGTGTTTTTCGCCTGCCAAGATGGCTAATTGCGGCTTGAAATCTTGATTGCGTCTCTCCACTGGATTCGCCTGTGGGTGGTATACTGGGATAAGGTATTGTTTAATTCCAAGGCAGTGCGTAGTATGCTGCATAACGGCGCTTACAAACTGGAAGCCGTTATCGCTGGCACAAATCCGAATCGTTGTCTATACTTTGTCTTATGATAGGAATACTTTGTCTATGAGAGTCTTCGCACATTCCTGGGCTGAGGCGTTTTTTAGCGCAAAGAGTTTTACCCATCTGGTCGTCGGGTCCTCAACAATAAAGATCCATTTCAAATCACACTCTGATGCCGCAAACAGATCCATAGCGATTACCTCAAATATTTGTTGTAATGGTGGCGTTTGTATTAATCCTGCTGGCTTTTGATTCGTGGCCTTGTACCGCTGGCACTCCATGCAATCTTTCAAATGTGCTATAATATCCCGCCGCATACTGGACCAATAATACCGTTGGCAGACTTGTCTTGTGTTGCGTTCGATGCCTGTATGTCCTGCGGTGGAGGCATCATGATATTTGCGTAGTTTATCCTTGGCTTCGTGTGATTGGATCACCACCTGTGACTCTTCTACGTCAGAGTCCGGATTATATCTGTATAGTTTCCGTCGCGCTTCTGCTTGGGTAATCAATGGAGACGATCCCAATTTGTGCGGATGTGGACCCCTTATCGTCGATATTGGGTCGTGATAACGTATCTGCTGTAGTTTCTCTCAGTCGGAGTTAGCAGTCGACTAGCATATTCGACTGGTATTTCGTCGGCTCCTTTTCTTGTAATAACACTCCCCCTAGAGCGTAAATGCTGGCGTCAGTGCGTAGAATATACGGCTTTATCTCATCGGCTTGCCGTAGGATTGGACTTGTCATTAATGCTGTTTTGAGGCTCTGAAAGGCGTTTTCGTGGTCTTGGCCCCATATCCAGTCGTGGTTCTTTTTTGTCAGTTGATTTAGGGGTTGTGACACTCTTGCGAAATTCGAGAAAAAGCACCTATACCAGGAACAAGTTTGCAGAAATGTTTACAACTCTTTAACGTTTTTGGGTGGTTTCGTGTCTACGATGGCAGCAACCTTCTCGGGGTCGGGTGTGAATTCCTTCAGGCGTCACGACATGTTTCAGATATTTCGCTTTTGTGCAGAAGAATCTGCGCTTGTCTCGGTTCCTGGAGAACAAGTGATATAAATGGTTCAGATGCTGATTTCAATTCTCTGAGAGCAAGATGAGTTCGTTCAGGTAACTCAGGATCGGTACGCCGGGGTAAACTTGATCGAAAGGAGTTACGAACGCCGTCTAATCGCAATCTTCTGGTCTCTCGGCGACTTGCTAGTATCCAGATTCTTTGCCTGATCATTTCCTCAAGTTCGGCTTTCAGTGCTGCGCGCTTTGTTGGCGACAGTCGGTACGGCGGGACTGAGATAGGCGCGTGAATATGTAGTGTTCTGCTTGGTTACAGGGAACGTAGGCTTCCTTGAAGAGGTCGGCGTTTCAGAAGAGTATCCGCCTGACCTGATATCGTTCTTCCTCTGGAATCGGGTGGGCTTTTTTTTTCACGTAAATCCAATGATGCTATGTGTACCGTAGGCGCGGATTCAGCTGAACGGAAGCATGCATCAAATAGTGAGTCCAGCGTATGCTGATCGTTAGTTTTTATCGGTCTCGCAGCTGATCTAAAACAGGCATCAAATAATAAGTCTATCATTAGTTGGTCGTCCGCTTCATTAGTTTCCATCACAAAATTCCACGTACGATTCTTTAGCATCAAGCCGGCTTTGTGCAAAAAGTCTATACCCAATAGAGTACGAGTTTGTTGTTCCTGG